GATTCTGAGGGTCTGGCAGGATAAGGGATTAAAAGTATTAAAAAAGGATTAAGGATTAAAAGGATAAATCATGTAATCCTTTAATCCTGTTATCCGCCAGGGCCTTTTGGTTAAAAGGATTAAAATGATTAAATGATTTAATTCTTTTAATCCTTTTAATCCTCCAGAGCCTTTGGGGGATTAAACGGATTAAAAGGATTAAATGATTTAATTCTTTTAATCCTTTTAATCCTCCATAGTCCTTTGGGGGTTAAAAGGATTAAAAGTGATTAAATGATTTAATCCTTTTTATCCTTTTTATCCTCCAGGGGGTCCGGAATTCCCGGCCCAAGCCCTTGAGAAATATATTTAAATCCATTTAATCCTTTTAATCCTCCAGAGCCTTTTGGAGGATTAAAAGGATTTAAAGGATTTAAAGAATTAAATTGCTGGGCTTTTCTTGGGATTCTGGGAGGTCTGGAAGATTAAAAGGATTAAAAGGATTAAATGGTTTAATCCTTTTAATCCTTTTAATCCTCCAGAGCCCTTTAGGGGATTAAAAGGATTAGAAGGATTAAATGATTTAATCCTTTTAATCCTTTTAATCCTTTTAATCCTCCAGGGGGTCCGGAATTCCCGGCCCAAGCCCTTGAGAAATATATTTAAATCCAGTTAATCCCTTTAATCCCCCAGAGCCTTTTGGAGGATTAAACGGATTAAAAGGATTAAAGGATTTCATCCTTTTAATCCTCCAGATCCTTTTGGAGGATTAAACGGATTAAAAGGATTAAATGATTTAATCCTTTTAATCTTTTTAATCCTTTTAATCCTTTTAATCCTTTTAATCCTTTTAATCCTCCAGGGGGTCCGGAATTCCCAGTCCAAAAGGATTAAAAGGATTTAAAGAATTAAATTGCTGGGCTTTTCTTGGGATTCTGGGAGGTCTGGAGGATTAAAAGGATCAAAAGGATTAAACGGTTTAAAAGGATTAAATGATTTAATCCTTTTAATCCTTTTTATCCTCCAGAGCCTTTTGGTAGGTTCAACAGGGTTCCGGATAAAGTTCCGGGAGGCTTTGGTGCAGAGCCAGGTCAGGCTCAACAGGGCTCCGGGGTTCCGGAGAAGGTTCCGGGAGGCTTTGGAGCAGAGCCAGGTTAGGTTCAACAGGGTTCTGGTGAAGGTTCTGGAGAAGGTTCCGGGAGGCTTTGGTGCAGAGCCAGGTCAGGTTCAACAGGGTTCCGGAGAAGGTCTGGGAGGCTTTGGTGCAGAGCCAGGTCAAGTTCAACAGGATTTGTGGCCATTTAACTCACGGAAACCGAGCTGCAGTGTTTCCAGCGCTTGGCTTGGCAGCAGGCTTCAGAAAGATTAGTAAACATAAAACGTTGCGGCTGTTGGGCATACCACCGAAGCTTGTTTTCCAAAGACATTTGCTGTGGATGGAAATTGCATATCCCTTCAAAGTTGCAAGAATGCAGGGGTGAGGCATGTCACCCTGCCTTTGGCAGCATTGTAAGTGACAGCACACGAGATTTCTTGTAAAGAAGCAACGCCCGGATGTTTGTTTGAAATTTCCTGGAACAAATATTTTTCGACAAGGGCCACATCACCACATGGGACTTTGAAAAAAGCAATGCTCTTGAGCTGCATTGACAGCTGGTGAGCCTCCATCCACATTGTGCAAACAGACAACATCACCAGAAGTAATTGTTGCCCCAGAAAAAAGTTTACAACGAGAGCTCTGCATGCAAGGCATTCCCACAGGAACCACGCCAGCATTGCATAGGAATGCCGTCATCTTCTTTGTGGGGCCCCCTTTTTGCATTTTGTAGGCAGGTGCCTTCTCTAAACAGTCTTGACTCTTCACCCAATGTATAGATGTGCCCTGCGATGACAGACTTCCTCAGAGAAGTTTCCCAATAGGTAGTGTTGCACAAGACATTCCCATGTTTTCTAGTGCCTTTGTGCTTCCTTTCCATGGTCCAGCATGCAGGTAATTGGCCATGCCTCTGGAGACTTTGACTATTAATATGAAGTGACCAGTGCATCTTTGGCTCGAATTCTTCCGACCAGTCAGCTGCAACAGTTGCCTCCAATGCTGCTTCAACAAATGAAAGCAATTGCTTGTAGTCGGGCTTTTCCAAAGCAGGGATGGCTAGGCGATAGTCCAAAACTTTGCACCAAGCCAAAGAGCTAGTTGACCCCAGAAGACAAATGCCATTAGGCAAGCAACAAATTTGGACATAGTGTGCCAGCACCTGGTACAGACCCAGAATCTCTGAGGATGCATCTGAACTTCCCAGCTTTTTTGTGGCCTTCCACTGCTTTGGGCAGAAATAGCCTTTTCAAATTGCATTTGTGAATGGCAGGCTGGGCCCAAAGTTGCACAAAGCCATGTGCCTTCCAAATCTCAGCCACGCCACTGGAAGCAAGCGGTTGGATCCACAAAAACAAATACCTAGTTCAGCACACCATTTGGGCAGAGCCCATGCATATAATCATGCATGTATTGGGTGATTGGTCTCAGAAGGTTCTGGGACTTCAGCTTGTCACTCAGCAAGAGTGAATGCTGGGAATAATCAACCCCAGAAGCCTGGCTCCACCTTCTTAACTCGGTTTTGTTGCACTCTTGCATCCTTGCCCACGAGGACAGGATTTCTTGGTCTGTTGCAACATCCAACAGAGAGTTTCAGTCTTTTAAGACCTCCCTGTAAAAGTATCTCAGAATGAGGATGAGCATATTTGTTGTCAAACATGTGCTCCAGGATCAACCTGAAACATTGGCCAATGCTGGCTGCCAGCTGTGAGACTTGCTCACTCCTCTTCCCGAGCAATGTCAACCAACTGAATTTGCTGCAGCTGTGAGACTTGCTCACTCCTCTTCCCGAGCAATGTCAACCAACTTTCAGAATTTGACAGCGTGGCCCCAAACTGGGCAGATGAACAGTAAATTGCCCATGTATTCCTAGAATTCCCTGCCAATTGGTTGCCAGGGTGCAGTTCATCTACATAAAGAATGCAAGACCAAGGGTTGTTGAAGGAACCAGGGTTGTTGTCATGTACCTTGTCAAAATAATCCGCAAAGCAGCCACCAGCTGCATAAGCACCAGCCAAATAGTTAAAGATGTTGGCAAATGCCAATTCCACAGGGTCCTCTCCCAAAATCATAGCTGAAGGCCAGCAATGACCTGCTCAACAAACTCTCTGATTTGCTTCCTTTTGTGACTAGCAGGAATGCCTTCCTGGGCTGCCAAAGTCAATATTACTTCCAGGGCTGACTGGCTGCAAAATGGGATTCTCTGTTTAAAACTTTGCAATTTTGGAAAGTCTGGCATGGCTGGCTGGAAGCATTTCTTTGCAGAAAGGTGATAAAAGTAATCTTGGACAATGTTGGAGTATGACTGTGTGAAAGGCAAAAACTAGTGTTCCATGGCCTGCTGCGGAACCTGCTGCTAACATGGCCTCCAAATATGTCATTTGCAGATTTGGCACACATTGCCTTGGGCCAGGCCTTGCTTCATGCAGTAGCCTTGCAGAAAGCTGTGCCCACAATGCTGTGCTACTGATTCAAACATATTCAAACAAAAAAGCCCTTGCAGGCAAACGGATTTCAAATGATAGCTCTTGAAGCCAAAACTGAAAAACGACAAGCAGAACCAAGGGCAGCACTGCAAGTTAGTGGTCACTTACTTTCATGCTGGAAAATATGTCTAGATAAGTATGTCAAGAGAAAGCCTAAGCGTTTCTGTTTTCCCCCACTGCCTGTATGATTTACCATTGCTGTGTTTGCATGGTTATTTACCACAAGGCAGCCCACGATCTTTTGTCTGACCAAGGAAATATTTACACTTCCTTTTGTTCCCCTGCTGCCTTCTTGTTACCACTTGTTGTATTCCTGTCTTGAACTGAGACTGAGTCCCCCCAAAGTAGGGAGACTGGCACTTGCCACAGCCACTCACACTGCCACGGCATCTGACACATCCATAGATTCCTTTGAGGAAAGCTGGTGTGACATGATTTGCTTCCTCAGCATTCTTCACCACAATGGCCTTTTGCTTGGGCTCTGCTTTGGCTAGGGTTTTCTTAGAAGCTGGCCTCTTCATGGCAGTATCCAAATCATTGCCCTTCCTCTTGGTGAGCATGTGTTTGGCCTCAGCTTCATAGTCCTCAAGGCTTTTGCCTGGGTGCCATCATTTCCTCCAGCAGGTGCAGCACAGTCAGAAGGTGCAGGTAGAGGCAAAACAGCTGGAACTGCCGGCAAAGCTTTGGGAGTCAGGAGTCCCTTGGGCCGGCCCCATCTGAGAGCAAGGAGTTGCTGGAAGGAGGCTTCTCCAAGCTATCATTGTTCAAGATTTTCTGGCTCAAGGCATCCAAAGCTCTGGCCTGTTTCTCCATCATGTCAAAGAGATGGGTGGTCACCATACTGTTTGTAGGGTCTTTCCCTGTCGAAGGCTCTGCTGGCAACTGCTGAGAGGTTGCCTGTGGAGTGGCCACAGCCCTGAGTTCCTTGGCAGTTCCGCTCACCGTGACTTTCTTGGCAATGCTTCCAAGGTTTATCATATGACTGGTAGCGAGCAAGCAGAAAGCCTGCAAGTGTTTATGTTCAAATGGAAAATTGTATACGTGTCCATGTGTGTGTGTGTGTTCAGGGATTATGTCAT